AGGACTAAACAAGGACTAAAACAGGTCTAAACCAGGACTAAACCAGGACTAAACAAGGACTAAAACAGTATTCAAACAGGACTAAACCAGGACTAAACCAGGACTGACCGAGGAGTGTCGGGACGGGCCCGGAGTTGCATAGACTGTCAGGTGATTAGGACTGAGACCAGGACCGGGAATTAGACCGGGATAAGACCAGGACTGAGACTGGGACCAGGACTAGGACTGAGACCGGGACTTAGACCGGGACGAGACCAGGACTGAGACTGTTAGTCCTGGTTTAGACCTGATTTATTCCTATTTTAGTCCCGTTTTAGTCACATAAACATTAATTTAAACACTAAATCGAAAACTGAAAAAACAAATCCTTATCTGTTTATTCATTTCCTTATTTTTGGTTTTATTTTGAAAAACGAATCAACGAATGATACACGGATTAATCAGGACACGCGGAAACCAAAATGTAAGTGAGGAATAACTTTGGACGACTGCGAACTGTTTAAAACGAACTAGTCCTGCTTTTGTTTTTTCACATTTTAAGAGCGACTTTAAGATTCTTATTAACATTAACGTCTAATTTCCCGCAAATAAAAACCTCACTGATATATTTCCACGCTCAAATCTTCCCATGAGTCTGGATTTACAGTCTTCCGTTAATGATCGTACACATTCTGCCACACTACTGTACTGTACGCTCGCATAGCATAGACACAGGGAAGAAAAAAAAACAAAAAACGTCAGCCTCTTCTCTCGCCAAGGAAATGTCAGCACGAGGCAATCAAAAAATGTATTTCCAAGCGCGCATTATCGTCTTTCCTTTGTTAATGATTTTAGCATATTAAAGGGGCCCCTATACACAAGTACAAATCAGATTAATCCTTTTCTCCGACCGGGGGCCTCATTATTTGTCCAATCTTAGCCTTGTTTGTTATTAATTGAAGACATTCCTCCAGACAGTTTTTTTCACCTCACCTTTAATTAAAAGGGACGAGACGAGCGGTGAGGAGAGGCTGCCGCTGCTGATATCCGCCCGCGCACCGCTTCATTAGTATGACATTAGGATTTCAAGGTAAAATTTAATTCGCGGCGTGTTCGACTTGTGCGTGTTTGATTTGTGGAGCTGTTGTATAGGACTGGTCGGATGTGTGGTGTTTTACAAGTTGGGGACATTGTACACGTTTATAATTGTCAGTGTAGGGTTCAGGAATTAATAGAATTCCACAGCGGCTTTGATTTTGTAACGTGTTATATAATGTAATAATCTACTAAGATGTGGTTTTGGTTTTGGGAATTCAATACAGTTAAAAAAAAAATAAAATTAAAAAAAATAAATAAATGTCAATATACACTATTACAGTAAATAAAATCAAATGAAATAATAAAAATAATATTTAAAAAAACTAAAATAATAAATAATAATAAATAAATAATATAATAAAATAAAATAATATAAAAAAATTAATAAATGTTCCTACTTGTGCTAATAATTTAATAACGATCCCCAGAAAAAAGAAGAAAAAAAAAAAAAAATTTCAACATACACTATTACAGTAAATAAAATAATAAAAATAATTTAAAAAATAAAAATAAATAATAATAATAACTATGACTATAACCATGATCCCCAGGAAAAAAAAAAAAAAAAAAAAAGATAATGATGGATACTACATTATTGGAGTAAGCGAAATAACTCACTTTTTTGTTGTTATTTCTAAGTGTGCACTGACAAATTGATAAAAGTCGTGACTAGGGATGTAACAATACCCGAAATATCGTGATATCGGATCGTGGACCATCACAATACATCGAATTACAAGTGTCTTTGCTTAAGTTAAGAGTTATGGTGCAGCAATAGCTAAAAAAAAGACAGAGGGAACTACATAGACCATGATCCTTTGCTTCATTTCAGTGCAGACTACAAGAAGAAATAACAGTTCTAAACACTTTTAAGTCTTAGTTCTATGGATTAAATCTTTTTCTTTATTTTAAGAGGAAAAAGAAGCATTAACAGTTTTGCCTCCACAAAATATCGCAATAAATATCATGAGATGTATATCGTGAAAACATCATACCGAGAGATTTGGATATTGTTACATATCTAATCATGAGCCTCCCCAAAATATCGTGAGCTTTCCCACGATATCGCAATAAATATCGTACCGTGATGTTCATACCGTGACAATATCGTATCGTGAGACTTGGATATCGTTACACCCCAAGTTGTGACTGAACGTCTTCACAGAATTCACTTCAGTCAATTTTCTCATGCATAACCTCTTTTTTTATTTGTTTGTAAATCGTTTTGAGTGTCCAAAAAAGCTCTATATAACAATGTATTTCTTGTTATGCCAAAATCTGGTCCAGCAATTGCCTCTGAACTGAACAAAGACGATTGCGTAGACTTTATTGACTAATTTTGAGTATTTTTATGTCTCTCGTAAAGTTACAGAAACGTGACTTGCGTCTTTTATATCGTCAACCCTGCATATCCTTTTCTGAAATGCAAATATCCCCGATCGCGTTCGAACAACAGCGCCATTTCCGCCGCTTTTGAACCCGAACTGTAACAACTTGACAAGAGAATCGACGCTGACAAGATTTGACAGTGCCTAAATATAGCTGATTTCTGTTTTCCCAATATACAGTAGGGGTTGAAATGCTCTCCCGTTGTCTGCAGCAGTGAATGGCAACACATAGCATCTCATTTATTTGCTTTGCGTGCGCTCCGGCTCCTAATCTAGCCCTTAAAGACATCTGTCACCAGCGATCACTGTTGTTTTGTCATGCTTCATAGCTAGCCCAGGGGGAGCGCGCCAAGCTCAAGGTCTAGGCATTTATATCATCCCGCGTTCCTCCAGATTGGACTTGACAGAAATAGTGTCATTGCATCCCCCCCCCCCTTGTTGCCGAATTACATTTTCAGGTAAAATTCTTGGCGTTTCATTCGAGCTTGTTTTGTTTTTGCCATCTTTTTTTTTCTTTAAGTCTATAAGAAGGGCTCTGGCTAAGCTGAAAAAGCCACCGTCAAGACACATGTCAGACGGTGAAGGGGAGATAGATGCGGTTTCTTGCAAATAGGCGCCCACTCGTTCTCATGAAACGGCATTATAAAAGGATCGTCTTACATTGGTTATATTATGTTTTACAAATCAGGAACAACACGGAGGGCCATTCTTGGTCTATTTGGGCTGACAAACTAAAAACAGCCTTCGTTGGTTTTATTATGTTATGTTATTATTCAATTTTGACTTGTAAAATCCAACTAAACCATTTTATATCCAAAATACAGCATCCCTATGAAAAGAACAAGCTGGTCCACTCATTGGATACACTATTTTTTGGAGTAAATAAACAAACATACTCAACATACTTTAGATTCTGCATATGGTACATTTTTTCACAATACCAAAATTTCAGTCTCGGTTTTGATACTAAAAATTATACTCGATTAATTGTCGACATTAAATTGTAGGAACTGTCCTGTAGTGCCTCCGCTCAATTTCATTTCTCTCCAGCGACTAGGTCAGAAATCAAAATACAATAGACGATTTGCAAAAACCTCAGAAGTGCGAGTTCGGACATCAGCCAATCAGCGAAGAGTGATATATTCAGTGTTGTCAACGATTCCAGAGATCGAGGATTTAAAGCCGGAACAAAGAGAATGTTTGGCGAATTTTATCAAGGGGAAAGACGTTATTGTCCTTCTTCCTACGGGATTTGGGAAAAGCTTAATATACCAGTTAGTCCCATTAGCGGCGTGTTACATTCGTCATGACCAAACAGCAGCGACTGGTTAAATGATAAATTCTAACACTGCGAGGTCAGACGGCTTGTACGAAGTGAAACAAAGTAAAACCGGCTGATGAATCATCCAGTAGGGATGTGCAAAAATATTGAAATATCGGTATATCGTATCATTTAATGTGATGATACAGTTTCAATATCGTGGGCTGCTGTATCGATATATATTTCCAATAGTATTTTTTGGTATATTTTACTAAATTATTTTGTTACAGAGCTACAGTTTTGTTGCTTGTTCGGAGGAAGGAAACTCGTTTATCCGACACATTTAACATTTTCATTGTTTTGATGATTAAAATTGCTGTTTTTCATATTCATTTTGCACAAGAAGCGGTTTAACAAAGACTTTTAGACGTTATTTTTTAATTGAACCGTATCATACTGGGTCTGAGTTTTCATATTTTTTTGTATTTTGTATCGTATTGGTAACTTCTTAATGATACCCAGCCCTACTGTCCTGTGAATGTGACTTTTTTAGTATCGATACCAGCTCAAATTTGTACTCATAATTTCGTAATACACGTATTTACCCTGTACAATTTCCACTCTACAAAAAGCAGTGTACATTTCCTTTGTAAGTTTGTACTGTTTAACATGTCAATCTTAACTTTTGGCGACTTCTTTTGATAGAAATACAACTTTGGATAAAATTCTTATTAAAAAAAAAAACACACACACACCATTTATATAGCCTACAGTGAAGTTACATAAATACTTAATAATTCTTTGCTTTTACTCAAGGCACTAGACAAGGATGCCCATTATCCCCTTAATTATTCACGTCTGTATGCAGTTCCCAGTCTGTTTCTGCGCTCTCTGCGAGGTGTGTGGGCAGGAATGGGGACAAGCCAATGGGGTGATCCGTGTTGACAGTTTTGATGAACCTGTTTGGCCTGATCTGACAGCTTTAGCGCCTGAACAGGAGCTCTCTGTAGCCGAGTGGGTGGACACGTGTAGGCTTTCCCAATGTCTATAATGTTCAAGGTTGGGTGGAGGTCAGCAACGGGTGCAATCTTGGGTTACACCAAACAACGAGCATACACAGGCTATAGTGGCAACTTGACTCGGGGCGTGCGTGCGTGTATGTATGTGTGTGCGCGAATGAAAGGAGAGCCCGGCTTCGGTTTCTTCAGTGCATGTATTTATGTTAATCTATGTTAAACAAGCTCATTTGCGTGTGGTTTCTCTCCTCCTCGCAGCACCCTTACCCTTCTGAAGAGCAGAAGAAGCAGCTAGCTCAAGACACAGGCCTCACCATCTTACAAGTAAACAACTGGTAAGTCAAGACGCCCTCAAAGCGAAAAGGAATGTCGACAAAGTTAAAATGAGTTCAGAAGCAAAGAAGGAGTAGTGTCGTTTGAAGAAAAAACGCAAATATTGCTTCAATTTGGTCAAATGTATCAAAGAAAATGGTCTGAATGTAAGATTTTTAAACCAAAAGTGTGACACAAAATTCAATTAAGACCAAAACGACGTGAAATACTTAACAAATTGACATTGTTAAGTTATCGCACCGGAATAAAACAATATCTAGGTAAGTTAAAATGGGTTAAATTAAGAATATTTGACTTGATTTGAGTCGATTCAACTTGACAAGTAAAATTATCTGCCAATGGAATAAGTGTGTTTTTCTTAATTCAAGCAATATTCAATTTAGTTTCTTATTTTAAGTGCAACGAGTTGTTGTTTTTCTTACTTTAAGTGTGAAGAGTCATAATTTTTTCTTAATTTAAGTGCAAAGAGTCATTGTTTTTCTTATTTTAAGTGAGAAGAGCTGTTGTTTTTCTTATTTTAAGTTCAAAAAGGTGTTGTTTTTCTTATTTTAAGTGCAAATAGTTGTTGTTTTTTCTAATTTTAAATGCAAAGAGTCATTGTTTTTCTTATTTTAAGTGCGAAGAGTCGTCGTTCTTCTTATTTTAAGTGCGAAGAGTTGTTGTTTTTATTATTTATTATTAACTTATTAAGTGTAGCAAGATGTATTTTCATATTTTAAGTACAAAAAATTGTGTTCCATTGGCGGATATTTTTACTTGTCAAGTGAAATTTACTCAAATCGTGATCAAACTTTCTTAATTCAAGTCATCTTAACATGGCTAGATTTTAGTTTTTGCAGTGTGATTTAAGATTTGAATTAAAAATATACTGAAACGAATTCCATAATGTAGATTTAACTCATTCAAACTACTCAAAGCTTCTGAATTTTGAATTTTAGCTCACGTGGATATTCCTTATTTCCTCCGCTTGCTGTATCTCCGCCACCAGCGATGCATTTCTCATTTTCATTTTGCCAACACATCTAATGCTCGCAAAACCATTTAGCCGTCCCCGCACCGGAGAGACGCTCTTTGTAACGCTATTGCACGTAAGCTCGCTAGGAGGAGGATGTTCCGCTGTTATCCCTCGTGGTCTTTGTGGATATTTTTAAAGGCGAAAGATCATCGAACCCCAAAATCAAAAACAACAACAACAACAGAAGAAAAAAAAAAAAAAAAAAACGCAAAAAACGGCTGCCACCCCCTCGCTGGTTTTATAGGAGCGACAATATGTTGGATTAAGGTTTTTCGGTGGCCTGGCCAGCAGACCCCTTTGTACGGGGCTTAGCGCATAACTGGGGGTGGTGGGATTAAATAAAATGATCACAGAGGCGAAGAAATGATACAGGAATTACTTATCGAAATACTAGCCCAGGTTTTTATCGCGGCGGCTTAATTTTGTTGCCACGTCGTGATGTTCAGATTAATTGAAGTGACAGCTCCCTTTCAAAATGGCAGGAAGGTATTTGCACGGATTTCAGGTTTTACACAAACTTAATTATATGGCGAGCCTATTTTATCATTCTAATTCCATGTAGCGGGGGTGCTATTTACAAATGACAAGTCGGCAGCCTTTTATTCGCGGCTTTTCCCTTAATATATTTATCAAAGCGGGTTCATTTACAAAGTGCCCTATCTGCCGAGCGCAGGCAGGCCCACATTAACGCAGCTTTTAGGTTTATCACGCTCGCAAAGCCTGACAAGCCACCCGAGGGTCAATTGATTTTTTTGGGTTCCGCGATTCATTTTTTCTCTACCTAATTTTTTTTCTTCTTTCCGAATCACAATGAGAAACATGCCTGGAGAATTAGCCGAGTTTGTCATTCGCTTATCTATCTAACAACCCCCACACCCACCCCACCTTCCTCCCGTTCGCTTCCCACCTTCGCGCCGATGTTCACCCGACCCAGGCGCAAACCGAGCTACTTAAATTGGCCACAGGAACGGGCCTTATCGCGGCTTTAATGCACCCTACAGTGTGGATAGCATTTCAATTACAACAGTAACCAAAGATTAGCCCCCCTCCCTCCTCCCTCCTTCCTTCCCAAGTCTGGCTGTTTTTCTTTTTTTTTTTTTTTTTCCCCTTCTACGGGTACCTCGCACCTTACCTAGCAAAGCAGAAAATTGACTTGCCTTGCCTGTGTCATGGTGATTAATGCTAAAATAGTGGTCTAACCTGGGAGCTGTGCAGATGTAGATGGAGTGGGAGTTTGTTTAGCGTCGGTTGCGTTGTGTGTTTTTACCCGAATGCGCTCGGTATGACATAATTCCTTACGTACAAGATTAGAAATACACCCTGCTGTGATTTAATACACATTGGTAACTATTATTTTGACTGTTTTTCTCATGTATTGTGGGCTCAGCTGTAGATATTTTGCTTTTTTTTATAAATCATGTCATTGTTAAGTAACGTTCTGAGATGCACTAAAAGTTAATTCTGTCTTCATTTTTAGATGATTAAATACTTAATAATAAATTATAATAATAATGTATCAGTTTTATATAACGCTTTTCTGGATGCTTAGTCCTGTTAAATCCTGTTTTAGACATAGTTTAGACCTGGTTTTAGTTCTAGTTTAGTCCTGGTTTAGTCCTGGTTTAGACATGGTTTGGACCTTGTTTTAGTTCTGGTTTAGTCTGTTTAGTCCTTTAGACTTGTCTTGTTTAGACCTGGTTTGGACCTTGTTTTAGTCCTGGTTTAATCCTGCTTTAGTCCTATTTTAGACCTAGTTTAGACCTGGTTTTAGACCTTTTTAGTCCTGGTTTAGCCTAGTTTAGACTTGTTTTAGACCTGTTTAGTTTTTTAGTCTAGTCCTGTTTAGTCCTAGTTCCTAGTTTAGACCTGGTTTAGTCCTAGTTTAGACCTGTTTTAGTCCTGGTTTATCCTGTTTAGTCCTATTTTAGACCTAGTTTAGACCTGGTTTAGACCTCCTGGTTTAGTCCTAGTTTAGACCTAGTTTTAGACCTGGTTTAGTCCTGTTTAGTCCTTAGTCCTAGTTTATACCTAGTTTAGACCTGGTTTAGTCCTGGTTTAGTGGTTTAGTCCTAGTTTAGACCTGGTTTTAGACCTGATTTAGTGTTTGGCAATGAGTGGAATTACTGGGAATTTTTTATTTATTTATTTTTTTTAAAGGGATATAGCCCAAAATGTGAAAACAGGAAAATACCTCTGTGTAATCCAAGTTTATTTCAACCAAGTAACTGTAATCTAATTACTGTAACTGTACTCATACTCTGTACTCTGATTATGTAACTCTGGTACATGTAATCTGTTACTCCCCGACACTGTCTATTTTGATGTACGTTTTGACTAGTTTAGGGTGGGAGCTGTTTTTAAAGACTGTAATTGACCCTCAATATTTTAAACTATTTACTCTTATTATGATTTGTGCTGCTGTTGACCTTATACTGTAATGACAAATAAATTCTGATTCTGAAATTTTACTAAGTACATTCTACTTTTCTATACGGCTGTCGTTATCTAAGCCTGAAAAGTAACTGAGTTTTGACCTGAAAAAAAGTATTTCCATCGAGACAACTAATCGACAGCTCAATTGGTAAAGCGTTTGTCCACCGATCTGAAGGTTGGTGGTTCAAATCCTGCTCTTGACATAAACATCATGGGTTGAGTGGTCAGATCCAGTGACCCACAGGTTGTTGGTGCGATTCCAGCTCCCACAGATGAATACTGTAGTTTTTTCCTTGGGCAAGGCACTTAACACACCTCACCCCCAGTGTCTGTGTCCTTGGTGTAAAGCGCTTTGAGTATCCTGAAGAGGGTAACGAGAATTACAAAATAAAAAACTGGGACATCCCCTTTTTTGTTTTTTGTTTTTTTTGGTTGTTGGTAATAATAAAATTGCAAAACAAGCGCATAATTACGGAAAATTGTTACGCAGAGACCGTTTATGAGTCAGTATAGTCACATTTTCTTTGCGTTTTGGTCATTTTTAAGCAGATTTTCTGTATTTTACCTCAACAAATTACAATTTAAGCCTCTCTTTACTGTTGGCAGGGATCAAATTGGTCAAAAATACGGACATTTCTTTTATAAAACTGGGACAAATCAGTAGGTTTGGACAAATCAGCTGGGACTGGGGACAAAGAAGGTGGAAAAGCGTGAACATTTACCATCTATTTTGAATTATTAGTTATTTATTTTATCTCACTTATTAGAATTTTTCCGACAAATCTATAAATCCCAGCGCAGGAACAACCACAGACATGCTCTTTCACGCCCAAATGTATCCACTGTACACGGGACGACATTACAACACCACAGCCCTCATTAAGACCAACATGCCAAAAGCACTTTACTCAAATGAAGACATCACAGGCGCTCGCTGGCCCGTCTCTGGGGACCTGTCATCTCATTTGGCGCAGGATTCCGCGTTATTGGCTCTTTTTTTACACCGGAGGAGACGCGACAGGAAGCGCGCCCCGGCCAATCAGATGAAAGAGATCCGTCCCCCATTGACTGGTTCCGTCGAGCGGCGCGCGACACAAGCGACTGTACGCGAAACCCAAAAGAGCTGCTCGAATTACGGACTCGCTGACATCCACCCGCGTTGTGTAATTTATATCCGGCGTCTTTGTTCGTGTTATAAAGAGGTACTAAAATTAGCGAAGCGTGGTCATAATCAGCATAAAAAGATGTTGCAATGCCGTGTGGTAACAGCTACACTTTGAATAACCTTAAGAAAGAGTCCGTGTACCAGTCGTTCTTTTGAATTTCAATGAACGAAAAACAATAAAATGGGAAAACGGTTTGTTATTTCATTATTCCGTTTTAGTGTCAAACAATAAAAACAGATTTCGACTTCTATTTCCAATGTTTAATGTAAAGTTTATTTCAAAAAGCAGTATCGGTGCCTGTTTTAATTTGATATTTCATGCTCTGTGGTTTATTTGAAAAGTGCTGTAGTCAAGACCGCACTAATCGAGACCAAGATCAGTCCGAGAC